GGAGGTGACCTCCGTACAGACGGCACGTCTGTTCGTTGACATGGTGTCCAAGCACCATGGCATGCCCAGCGACTTTGTGTCGGCTCCGCGCTGCATGGCGCGTTTCTGGCAAGAAGTGTTCCCACTTCTTGGAACGCAATTCTCCATGTCGAATGCGGATCATCCGCAGGCGGACGGGCAAACCGAGTGCGTGAACCGCGTGCTCGTTGACTTGCTGAAGAGCTATGCCCAGTCGTTCCCCAACTGGAGTGATTACTTGCCGATGACCGAGTTTTCCAGCAACAGCGCGGTGCATGCCTCGACAGGGCATACACCGTTCTTCGTGAACGCCATGCGGCATCCACGCGAGCACGCTCGGGGCGGTGGCTTCCTCCTTAAGTGGGGGGATCTACGGTTGCGTCCGAACAACCGCAGAAGACAGCTGATACGGACATATCAGCTGCGATGACACGTGCGAGAGCGAGAGCCCGCACACGACAAGGCGACGTGTCACTGTGAAAAACCACGAGCAGGCGACACCTGCTTCGACCAAGGACACCATATCTGTGCGGGGCACAGACACCTCGAAGACTCACGCACAGGCCGGGCCTGTTGCACGAACAAGTGATGTATCGATGGCGGGAATCGATACTGAGAAGTACCACGCACAGGCTGGGCCTGTTGCGATCACACACGTAGTGTCATTGCCGGGCCCTGACATCTCAAAGAGCCACACACAGTCGGGGACTGATGCGAACACAAGTGGCGGGTCTGTGTAGGGCACAAACGCGGACAAGGTCAATGAGCTAGACCCGGGGTTCAGCTCTCAAGCAATGGACTTTGTCAAGGAACGACAAGCAGTCGTTCGATTTGTACACGATGCAATTGCAGCTTCTGCGGATAGGCAGAAGCTGAACGCAAACAATGTGGGCGGGGTAACACAAATGAATTCAAAGTTGTTTCATTGGTTTTGTTATCTACTCAAAACCTGCGTATACATGCAGTTACCGGATTCGGAGCAAGAAAGCTTGCTCCGCGCTTCATTGGGTCGTTCCCGGTGGCAGAACGGCACGGGAGTGCATACACGTTGGAATTTCCTTCCGACATGAGACTCCACCCAACGTT